CATTGTTATATGTTTTATCAAGTAATTTATAACACAAATAAAAATATTTAAGGTCAAAGTAGAAAAATAAAATCTTCAAAAGTCAAAAATGAACAATAAATATGGGACGGAGGGAGTATAATTTTTTTCTGTTCCACCTTCCAACTCCAGCATTTCACTTTTTCATTTTTTTTCCTCCATGACTCTTACTTTTTAACCTTTAAAATGTTTCAGCCCGGCATGACACAATATATTTATAAGGTTTAAACCTTAACCCGAAACCCGACAAGAAATCGACACGAAAATAAACGGGTTGACACGACACGACACGACACGATAATTAAACGGGTCGGGTTAGGGTCAAGCACTCCCAACCCGTTTAATGTCTTGACACGGCACGAACCCGACACGACACGACACGTTTGCCAGGTCTAGCTGGGAGTATGTTTATTTAAATAAATTAAAAAATGAAGGGCAAAATAGTCTTTTTAGGTAAGATAGGGACCAAGTGCGTAACAAAAACAAACAGTAGGGACCTTCCGAGTTAAAAAAATAAGTTAGGAACCAAACGCGCAAATTACCGTGTAATTTACTCTAAAGATTAAGTTTAATTCAGAAGAAACACAAAATATAAGGTCTTTTTATGAGATTAACCCTAAAAAAATATAGGTATGGTGCTATTATGGGTAAAAATAAAGCACATTGCCTATATATGGCTATATTGGTAACAAAAGGTAAAGCACATTACCTTGTGGTCTGTTTGTTGCACAGAACAACATAACAGGACATGACAGGTTGTACTGTGTTTGACATGTATTGGACTGCTACTGAGATTGATGTCAATGAGACAAATTTTTTAATTTTTGGTCTTCATTTTCGTGGCAGATTAAATTGGGATCGGTTAAGTTGGCTAAGCAGTACATGAGAAGAGTTGCTACAGAGCTTCAAATCAAGGGAACATCAGATAAAGATTCTTCAATGGATTATATGTTGCTTCAAGGAGTCAGATTTGCTTTTCGTATCCATCAGGTTTGTCGTATATTTTTTTACATATATATTACAATAACGAAAATTATATGAATTTCACATGATATTAAATATCATTTAAATATTATTCTTGTCTACTTTTTTGTAGTTTGCTGGTGGATTTGATGTGGATACAATGCATGCATTTGAGGAGCTTCGGAATGTGGCTCTAGTTTTAAACAAAAAGTAAAATGAAAAGAGGTTTTTTGAGGGAGGGAAATATGGATTTTTGTATAGAGAATGATTTAAGATGGTAGTTTTGGTTTGAAGAAAAAATGAAGGGTGGTTAGATATGGATATGGGATATGGTCAATAGAGGTGCAATCATTATCTTATATTTTTCTAAGTAACTACAAAAATTATATATGTATTAGGGGTTCAAGATTAGTTTGACCCTTACTTTTGATATTTTGTGTTTGCATTGCTTATAAATTAAAACATATATATAATATATCTTCTTTATCGGATACATCTTTAGATCGGATTAGAATATTGCATATATTTATATTGTGTGTTACTATAAGGTATTAGATGAATTATTAGATGGATATATGATAGAATTATATATATTCAGTGATAAACATTCGCAAGTAAAGTATATGCTTAGCTAGAAATTTTTATGGTGATTTTCATAAGACCTTACATTTTTATTTTTTGTAGACCTAATTTTTTTTTCCAGAAAAACCCAACTTTAAATATTACTTGTTATTTAAGCACATAGCATTGTAGGTTACAAACAAGTAAATAAAATTTTTTTTCTTCATAAAAGACTATATTTCACATTTTTTTTTTCATTTTAGATCTAAAACTATTCTTTTTCCAAAATAAATCCAATTTTAACCTGTTAGTTCATTAATGGGGTTGGTTACATCAGGTAATCGTAACCCTAATCCCCTAACTCACGTGCGCCATAAACATCTACAACTTATAAGTCTAAAACGTATTTATACTTCCAAATACAAAAAAGAATATGTATTTATACTTCTAAAAGAATAGATTTTTACTTTTAAAGAGGTAAAAAAATATTTTTTACTTCTAAACAGCATAAAAATAAGTATTTATA